TGAGTGTCCTTCGGACGCCTCTTCCCGGCGGCCGCGGCCTCGCTCTACTAATATGGGACGTTGCTCCCTGTCCCCCCACAGCTTGGGGGCGCCGCCGTCCCTTCTCCCTTTACTTCGGACAGGTAGGCGCCGCCCCCTTCTGTCTTACTACAAGTCGGGGTGCAGCCCCTTGGCCCCTCGTCCCCTCTCCCGAGACCCTCGGGGACCACCGCCTCCCGCGCCCTCTCCACCCCCGCGCCGAGTTTGCCCAGCCCTGCCTCCCTTCACCCTCCTATTCCCCTTCCCAGAAAAGGAAACTGCCTCGTGGGTTTTCCCGTCCTTGAGAGCTATTACCAGCTTCTAAGAAAATCCCTTTCAAGTTCCCACTGACTCCCTTTGTCACTATCATGGGAAATCTATTTTGGGGCTGTCGAACGCGATTGAAGTCCCATGCAATAAGTTCCAAAAAAAAGTTTCAAATGACACGAATGTTTCCTCCCCCGCCCCTGCGAGCGGTATTGGTAGCGATTGTTCCAGACGTCGGGCAGATAAAGCTGCTGTTCCTAGTATTTGGCTGGAGGGGAACTCCAGCTGAGAGTTAGGAACGTCTTGAATATGAACAGAAAGCACCTAAAGTATTAGTAGCTTGGATGAATATTATTTGCATGTTTCTTTTCTGGGGAAAGCAGATAACTTTCACCAAAAAGCTATGGAAAACAAGAAAAACTTTAAGGAAATACCAAGTGCTGGGCCTTTCGAAGCTGGTCACTGGTATTTAAGCCATTCTGCTGTGGCTCCTAGAAGCTAGAGGTTTTTCTGATTTTTTAGTTGGGGGAGTAAGGACAGTGGGGCCTCTTTTGTGAATCGAGGAAGAAATGTTTTTCAGGCGCTTATTACTCATCTGGTAGGTATAAGGATCCCATCACTTTCAACCTGCATGTACTATGGTGGTGGTGGTGGCTGTGTGCCGTGGAGTCGGTTCCGACTCATAGCGACCCTGTACAGGATTTTCGAGGCTGTAAATCTTTACAGGAGCAGAAAGCCTCATCTTTCTCCTGCGGAGCAGCTGGTAGTTTTGAGCTGCTGACCTGCAGTTCGCAGCCTGATTCGTAGCCACTACGCTACCAGAGACATCATGAGAGTCCAGCGTTGTAACCAAGTCTTTTCTGTGATGAGTTTAAACATATGATGCGGATAAAGTTTTGACCTTTTGGATCACTTTGAAAGACGTTCAAATCCTTGCCACCTGAAGGCGATCAAATAATGCTTGTTACTATCGTTGTTAGGTCCTATTGAGTCGGCATCATTAAGTGCCTTGAAGTTGCTTTCAACTCATAGCACCCTGTATATGGTTTCCGAGGAGTGACTGATAGGTTTCAACCAGTTATCAGTTCAATGCTTATCCTACAGCGCCACACCAGAACCCCTAAACAGTGCCCAGGAGGGGGAATGATTGAATACCTTGGACTCAAGGCATTCAGTGAAATCATTTTGTAGCATCTGTTGGCCGATGCACATGTCTGCAGGTCTTTACATTTCAGGAACTGATTTTAAGGACTTGGTTAGGAGTTCCAGTTTCTAAAGCTAGTAGCAAATTAAAGGTAATGAGTGTCTGGTATTTTGGTTGACATAGTTTGCTTTATCTGAGTTGCATGTTTAGCCATGTATGAGTTTCAGTTGACTTCCCAACTCATTGATTTCCTTAGCTTGACACATTTTTCAGGTTCACATCAGTTGATCCTTGTGTAATGCCTGCTCTTCCCACCCCCGCAAAACCTCACAGCACACCCTCAAGGTGATGATTATACTCTGAAGCTGATGGGTGGATTAAGCCATGATTTATGAGGAGGCTATTTTTGATACTCATTCATTTTGTCAAAATAAGTTGGGAATAGTTGCAGCCCACAAGATTTAACTAAGGCAGTGCTTGTCACGCTAGATGCACAACTACACAGGGGCTTGAATCCAGAAGCTCTTAGTCTACAAGGTGAGGAAAGATTGCAAGTTTGTTTCATCCTTTCTGTTAAAACCTGTTGTTGTTAAGTGCTGTCGAATGGATTCTGACCCATAGTGTCCCTGAACAGTGTTTCTGAGGCTGTAAATCTTTATGGGAGCAGAAAGCCTCATAGAAAAGGGACCGTAACAAAGCTTCATTTGAAAGGTAGACAACATAGTCACTCATTTATTTTCACCTTTGGGTGGCCTAAGTCTGCTTTTGTAGCACTATAAGAAAATGCAAAAGAATGATCCTTTCTGCCTGGATGCCAGCCCACTTCCACTCCTTCCTCTAGCTGATTCCATGCACTTTTACTGTTAATTAATTAAAATAGTGCTTCCCTGTTCTTAATTAGAAAAGCAATCTATACCTGAAGTCATTGCAGCCCTTAAAAGTAAGGGGGGGAGTGTAATTTGCCAGTGGAAAGAAAAAGCATAGATATGTTGACTAGCACTCAGAATCTTGTTTGCAGTTTATTTTTCTCTTTGTAGTCAACTAATACTGTACACTGTCTTTGGTGCTGTAGGATAAGCACTGAATTGCTAACCACATGGTCGGCAGTTCAAATCCACCAGCCACTCCTCGGAAACCCTATAGACGGTCTCTATGAATCTGAACCAACTTGACAACACTTTAACAACAACAGTTTTAAGAGGGCAGCTTGGTAGTTCTGTCGGATAAGCACTGGACTGCAAACCACAAGGTTGGCAGTTAGAGCCCACCAGCATAGTAACATGGAACAATTCATATTTATTAGAAAAGATGATCAGCAGCTGCATCTAGTACGATAAAAATAAAGGAAATTTAAGTGCAACTTAATAGCAAATCCATGAAAATATACAGAGACAAACGGCATGGTACAAGGTACACAGCCTCTGGGGTCCAGGAGACTGAAATTCGGTTCGCAGCTCTATGATTAACTAATTGGGTAATCCTAGTTACTTAACCTTTCTGGACTCCATAGTTTACACTTTTGTAACGTGTGGGAATGTTGGAGCTGTTAAGTGAAATCATATGTAAGGCTGCACATAATAATTTAGTTCTCTCAGTAGCTGGGGTGCATTCTACTGTTCCCCCCATTTTACACAAGAGGAAAGTGAAGCATAAGCCCACCTCACACAGGGTCACGCAGCAAGTGATGGAAAAAGGAGTCACAGTCACATGGGCCTCCAGACCCACTTCCCAGCACAGCTACTTTCCACAAATGGTATGCAGCGAAAATATTCGGAAGAGAATTCAGAGGTATCTGTAGTGGTGGAAGGAGGAGGACTCCTGTCTTACCCTCTATTTTGGCAACTTGGCAGCCACCCAAACCCACTGCCATCAGTTCCAAATCAGAGTGACCGATATAGGGCTTCTAACAAGAGCAGACAGCCTCGTCTATGAAAATGAAGCGGGCCTGGATAATAGTTTACCTCTGATGACTGAGGAGCCGACATTCTGTTTCTACAACTGTGTCTGGCACATATTAGAAATTTTCCTGAATGGTAATTATCTAAAATAGAGATCTGGTAATGTGAGCTTTCGCTCGGACAGTAACTTCCCACCTGTAAATACCATCATAGTTTAGAATATGAAGGCATTTCTCCCCCCTTCCCCCCCCCCCCCCCGAAAACCAGTGTTTTCCATAGGCAAACAAAACCTCTTGTTTTTCCATTCATTAATAATGAACCATAGTCACCTGACTGGACTGGAAGACAGAAGGGTATAAAAATATACTTCTCGCAGCTTGGTTCTTCCCACATCATAGCACTAAACACTTGGAAGTATAGAACAGAATCTGAGCTCTGGCAGGGAAACTTGCCCCAAACCATACATCTGCCAGTCATGTATGGTCACTGGGCTCCTGGTTCATTGCTCTTTTTAGCACTGCTGTCCGTGAACTGCTTTCTTCAGCTCAGATTTCTTGAAGGAACTTTAATAACATGGTTAAGTTCCTCAGTCAATGCTTCATCAACACCTGTTAAGTGAAAGGGGGGTGTTGCTAACAGTTAATGTGCTAACTGAAAGGTTACCAAGAGGTACCTCAGAAGAAAGGCCTGGCAATCTACTTCCCCAAAAAACAGCCATTAAAAATCACTTGGAGTGCAGTTTACTCTGACACACATGAGGTTACCATGAGTCGGAGTAGACTCCATGACACCTGGTGGCACTGCGTGGAAGCTCTTGTGCTAGGTACTAAGGTTATGTAAATGACAATTAAACTCCTGACTTTAGTTGCAGGAAATTGATATTTAAGCACATAATTATGGTATAGATGAATTTCAATTGTATTATAATTAAAGTGCTTCTTTAAACTTTATATTCTATCTTTCTACTAGGTGGCAAACTCCTTGAAGGACCCAGGCTTCTCTGTGTGTTCCAGGTGCTTTGCAAAGAGGATGGTAGGTATTAAAAATTGGTGAAGATAAGAAATAGATTACTGTGGCGCTGTGGGTTAATGCACTGGACTGCAAAGTCTGTTTGAGTCACAAGGTCAGCGGTTCAAACTCTCCAGCTTCTCCTTGGAAACTCTATACAGGGTTGCTTTGGGTCAGAACTGACTCGACGGCAGGCTACAACAACAATTATAAAATAATAATTTTGTGAAGTCAAGTTCAAAAGACTTTAAAAGTTTTCTCTAATAACATGAACACAGCTAATGTACGTAGCTGCCAGATAAAAGGTTGCCTAGATAAACGGTCTTATTTATAACATTCTCGGTGTTATGTTGCTTATAGCTTATCAAGATATAGCATATCTGTAGCCCCCCTTTTAGTTGATGAGTGTATGCATGTAGTAGACTACTAACTATGCTAGTAATCCCTGGGTGGCGTACATATGCAACTGACCACTAACCAGAAGATTGGCAGTTTGGACCCACCCAGAGTTGCCTCAGAAGACAGGCCTGGTGAAAGAAAGATCAGAGCTTCAAACACCCCTCTGGAGCACACCTGGGTCATGTGGGACTTGACAGCAGCGATGTGTACACTGAGGCATTTTTTTCCTTCCTATTTCTTCAGAGCAATTGAGAAGCAAGTTAATTATGAGTCTGCTCAACTGTGAAAGCAGCTGTGGGTCCAGCCAGCCGGACAGCGACTGTTGTGCTGCCATGGCCAGCTCCTGTGGCGCTGCCGCCAAAGACGACAGTGTCAGCGGCAGCGGCAGCACGAGGAACCTCTCCAGCTCCTTTGTGGAAGAGCTCCAGGGCTATGACGTGGAGTTCGACCCACCCCTGGAAAGCAAGTACGAATGCCCCATCTGCCTGATGGCATTACGGGAAGCAGTGCAGACACCGTGTGGCCACAGGTTCTGCAAAGCGTGCATCACCAAGTCCATAAGGTAGGTGGGCACAGGAAGAGCACGCCCCCTGCAGACGAGGGCCGCGTTTCTGTACTTTCCACAAAGAATCTAAGTGTACCTGGGCTACTACTGCCAGGTCCGCACACAGTGAAAGCTGGCTAGGTGGTGGCGGAGTCTGAGCTACAGCCGCACTAGACCCACTCCTCACTGTGGACGTGGTGAGGTGGTGTGGAATCAGTGCTGTGTACCAGTCAGGGCCTGTGCCCGTTCTGCCCCCACTAACCTGTCAGGTGCCCCTGAGGTATCCTGGAAGGTGATCCGTGCAGCAGGCTCTTTTCCCCACTACCTCGGAGCCCATGGTGGCTCAGGGTAATGGTGGCAGAGGTTGAGTGTCGTCCCCTGTCTGCTACCTTCCACTGCCCATCCTGGGTGGGGACCCCACTTGTCCTCTGTCCACCTCTTCTCATTGTCTGCCTTTGATGGAAACCCTACTCATTCTCCATCCGTCCCAGCCCTGTGCCACCCCATTGCCTCTTCCCATCTTCCTGCCTTCCCCCACCAGCCTCCCGCCCCCCTCAGGTCCTGGCTGACCTACCCCAGCCCACCTGTGACCTTGAATGGTTTCACTGTCACTCCAGTGGAGAGGTTGTGGACGAATAGGAGTAGGTATCCTGCAGCCAGTCAGCCGCCTGGGGCCCCAACCATCAGAAATGCTGCCAGAGAATTGTTTCAAAGTTGTTGTAAATGCAAGGTGTTGGATCACGAGATGGTCCAGTGAGGAGCAGACGTACTTTGAAGTAGGAAGTATTCATGACTGCTCTGCTGTCAGTAATACACACAATCTGATCCCTTCTTACTGCCTCCCCTGCTACCACCCTCTTCTGGACCACAGTCAGCTCTCACTTAGATTATTCCAACAGGCTTCTGCTGCTGCTCTTGTCTTTTTCCACTCTGTTCACGATACAGCAGCCACAGTGAGCCTGGCAAAACCAGTAAGGTCATCTGGGAATGCAAGCCGAAGGGCCATGATTCGTTTCCTGACCATCTTTCTGGAACATGCCACGCATACTCTTGCCTTGGGGCCTTGACTTTAGCTGTTCCCTTTTCTTGGAACACTCTTGTTGAAACCAGTTGCTTTGCTGACTCTTAATTCCCTCAAGCATGGCCCAGATCTCACCTCTTCCTGCTCATATTACTGTGTGCCTCCACCCCCTCCAACATTCCTGGTGTCAGCAAACTACTTTTCATTTTTCCTAATTAATTTTCACTTTTTAAAACACTAGATAATATGTCTGTGTATTGTCTGTTCATTTCATTGTAAGTAAGCTCTTGAAGAGCAAGGGCTTAGGTCTGTTTTACTCCTTAATAGTTCCAAATACTGTGAACAGTGCCTGACACATAGTAGCTGCTCAATCAGTTAGTAGCTTTAACGGAATGAAGGTACATGGGATTTCCACAAAGGGTTCAACTTCATCTCCTAAGAAAGAGTAATGTTTTACTATAGTAAAGAGTTAGAAACAGTTTTAGCTAAGAAGTTCTACAGGACCCCTGGTGGTGCAGTGCATTAATTCTTGGACTGCTTGCTAACTAACTGGAGGGTGGGTGGTTCAAGTCCAGTAGCTGCTCTGTGGGAGAAAGATGAGGTTTTCTGCTCCACTAAAGATTTATAGTCTCAGAAATACAGTATGTTGTTGTTAAGTGACTTTGACTCTGTCCCAACTCATAGCTACCCTGTATAGGTTTCCAAGGTTATAAATTTTTGCAGAAACAGAAAGCCTCATCATCTTCCAACAAAGTGACTGGTGAGCTCGAACTGCCAACCTTGTGGTTAACAGTCCAGTGCGTATCCTATGGAGCCACTATGCTCCAAGAAACCCTATATAGGGGTTCCTTTGAGTCAGAATCAACTCGATGGCAGTGGGTTTTGAGATAACAAATAGTAAGTAGGGCACAAAACAAAGTAGGGGAATTTTATGTTCTTTAAAAAGTGGAGTCCTGGTGTGGCACTGTAGGGTGAGCTCTGAACTAACTGATAAGGTCAGTAGTTCAAACCCACCAGCTGCTCCTGAAAAACCCTATACTGAGTTGCTGTAAGTCAGAACTGACTTGACAACACTTAACAACAACAACAAAAATGAATTAATGAAATAAATCCTAAGTAGATTAAGTTCATCTGTTTATTAGTTTCAACTTTGTTGTTGTTGTTAAGTGCCGTCGAGTCGGTTCCGACCCATAGCGACCCTGTACAGGGTTTCCGAGGGTGTAAATCCTTACGGGAGTAGAAAGCCTCATCTTTCTCCCGCAGAGTGGCTGGTAGTTTCGAACCGCTGACCTTAAGGTTCGCAGCCCGGTTCGTAACCACTACGAGCTTTTATCTTAAAAAAAATTTTGTGAACTTTTCTATAAAACTTTAATTTAGGTTAATTACATCCATGCTTGCTTGGAACCTGACATAAATGATGAAGGAACATGTCTCTTGTTTCAATTTGGGGAGACAGTGTGTTACCCAGTGAAGAATTGGAACCGTCTGTGTAATATAGGGTTTCTTAGACTTGTCACTATAAAGATTTTGAGCTGGAGAATTCATCGTGAGAGATGTCCTGTGCGTAGTAAGATATTGATCCATGTCCCTGACCTCTGTCCAGCAGCATCACTTCCAGCCCCCCACCCCTGCTGTGACCACCAGAAGTGTTTGTGGTGTTGCCAAGTATCTCTGAGGCGAAGTCACTCCGGTGCGAGCCCCACATCAGAGCAGCGTTGCCCTCAGCTTTTCCTCTGTTGACAATGACTTTTATTTTTTACTTAAGTTGTTTTGAGGACTTCAAAAAGTTCATGGAAAAATACTTTATCTCTTAAATCCATTTTCCACAAACTTTTTGAAAGTCCTTATATTTAGCTCAGAATGGCAACCACCGTATTGTGGATGTTTGGTTTCCCTGTTGCCAGAGATGTACAGTGTTTACCATGTATTGTCTGTATTTAGGAAGATGGCTAATCTTGAGCAGGTTTTTAATAGCAAGCGTTTCATGGAGTAGTAGGACAGTGGTCTGAGAAGGAAGTGAAACCCACATACAGATAGCCTGGACCTTTTTTTTCTGTCCCCTCTAAGCTAGAATGGCCACTTGCTTTGGCTCCGATGTTCTTAGGGAGCTGCTATATGACTTTTCATCGGTTATGGTCATTAGTGGAGCCCTGGTGTGGCGCTGTGGGCTAATGCTCGAGACTGCAAAGTCGCTTTGAACCGCAAGGTCAGCAGTTCACACTCACCAGCTACTCCTCGGAAACCGTATACAGGGTCACTGTGGGTCGGAGTCAACTTGATGGCATACAACAACAATGATCATTAGTGGGGGGGGGGGTGTGTGTGTGTCACAGTTCATCTCCAGCCAATTCTATTTGTAGCGATTACGAATGCCGTGGATAACGGCATTCAGCTCACCTTGTAAGGCTCTTTGTATTTTCTCTTAAACTTGCATTGCTCAAGTTTGGGTTCATACTTCACAGAATTTATTTACAGCTTTCTGTGCGTTTCAGAAAAGAGTTGGCATTTGCCGGTGAGTGTAGGAATAACATTATGCAGCTTGAGAGAGGCCCCGGCAAGCCTCACCGTCTCTCTCACCTGTACTGATTACAATCCAGTTGAGGATAGAGCCCTTCTCAGCCCCCTTTCTCGTAACAAGCAGCTAGTGCTGCTGACTCACATGGGAGGCGTTCAGGAAGTGTCTGAGACTGCTGCATCTGGGCCTGCCTGACAGCCCATAATTTATGAGCAAAGATGGAGACACCCATGGAAGACGGAATAAACAGCTTTGAGGCAGGTGGCAGTGCTCCTTTAACTCCCTTTGACATAGTACCTTGGACATGCAAATAAGGGAACCTCCTTTGCTGTCCATCAGTCCGAGTGTTGTTGCTACTGTTTGAGAGTAAACCTTTCAGAGTGCTCTCATGAAGGCTACTGATCAGGGGCTTACCATTTTCACTTAGGGTGAGCTGTTCACTCGAGAGACGCGTTGTAATGATGACATGCGTAGTTCCATCTCACAAGTTTATTGTGTAGCTGTCGACAGAACAGAGGCTACCAGAATTTCCACCCTAAACGTTTACTTGTGGGAGGGCTCAGTGTTAGAATTCCCCCAGCCAGTGCGTGTGTACCTGATGCGCAGCCAGCACGTGTCTCAGTGGAAACTCGTGTGCTGCTGTGATGCTGAACAGCTTTCCAGGGAGATGGGCCTGGAGACGTGCTTCTGGAAAGCAGTGCCACCCAGAATTGATCACAGGGACTCGCCATGAGTCAGCAGCCTCAACTTTCACTTACCTTTATGCCAGTCAAAATAGTCAATTAATTTTTCTCATTTGCTTTGGTTGGAATCTGGTCATCAATCAAAAATCCCATAACTTCTGATAGGAAACCACCGAAGTCCTAGTCGGACTCATTTCTCTTCGGCCTATTGTATTTTGGTGATCCTGGTCAATAATGCAATGTGTGAAATTGTTCTTCCTTAGCAAGTGATAAATGTAAGATTTCTACGTGATGCTTTGAATTTGCATCATTTTTCTAATGTAAGTAAATGTGTATTTAAAACTAACTGCATTTTATTTGTTTCTTTAGGGATGCAGGTCACAAATGTCCAGTTGACAATGAAATACTCCTGGAAAATCAACTTTTTCCTGATAACTTTGCAAAGCGAGAGATTCTGTCTCTGATGGTGAAGTGTCCAAATGCAGGTTGTTCGCACAAAATGGAACTAAGGCATCTCGAGGTATTAGAGCTGTTGCCTAGCCCTTCATATGTACTCAGGCAATTTCTGTGCTTTTGTGTCCATCCGTCTGCAGTCCCTGGGTGGCACAAATGGTTAGGCATGTGACTACTAACTGAAAGGTGTGTGGTTCAAACCCATACACAGGCCCATCGGAAGACTGGCCTGGTAATGTCCAGAACCAGTGTTCTATAGGAGAACACTAACTGCAGTCACACCAGTGCCACAGTGTAACCCCACGCAGTCATTTGGGACTGGCAGTCCCCAGGTAACCTCTCAAGTAGCCTCATTAGATTTTTTACTCACTCTTTTTCTAAATTGTGTATTTTATTATCAGCGAAGTGCAGTCCTCTTACTGCTTGAGAATGCCAGAAGCAATCTGATAATGAAAAAGTTTGCTTTTAAATTGAATTAAGTCCATTCTTAGTGTGGTGATTGTCAACCTGAAATTAAATATTGACCTGGTGTAGCATCATCAGAATAAAAGCACTCGGCCTCAAGGTCGGCTTGAACTGCAAGATTGGCGGTTCAAACTCACCGGCCGCTCCTCAGAAACCCTACACAGTGTCGCTATGAGTCAGAAGACTCGACGGCACTTACCAACAATGGTGTTCAACTTGAAGCTAAAGTTTAAGACAGAAGTGCCGCTTACTCTTCTGTATCTAGGATGACGAAAGGAGGAGTGGCCCTTTGGGTATACAGCTAAATCGATAATCAGGAAGTGAGACTTCTTCTCAACTCTCTCCTCCTAACGAGACACATGAACTGATAAATCCACATTCTTTGTGCAGACATTCAAATCACAGTGCTCATGCTCATAGGAAAGAATTTATAAAGGCCTTTGTATTACAAATTGTTCTGTGCTCTGGGCACTGATGATGCAGTAGATTATGTGTTGGGCTTCTCACTGAAAAGTCAGTGGTTCAAACTTACCAGTCACCCCACAGGAGAAAGATGAGACAGTCTGCTTCCAGAAAGATTTCTAGTGTGGGAAGCCCTAAGGATACAGTCCTGCTCTGTTCTGTGAGGGCACCGTGAATCAGAATCAATTTGGCACCAATGTCTTTTGGTTCTGGTTTTGGTTTGTGTACTCAACTAAGTCGATGCTTTTATAAAAAGAACATTAAAAAGAGCTAATTCTGTAAAAAGAACATTCTTAAATGAGACTACATTTAGGAGACTTCTTCAGTATTGGCCAAAACTGATTATTTTTTCTTTATTATAGGATCATCAGGCACATTGTGAGTTTGCTCTTGTGGATTGTCCCCAGTGCCAACGTTCCTTCGAAAAATGCCATCTTAAAGTTCACATTATCAAGGATTGTCCAAGGAGACAGGTTTCCTGTAAGAACTGTGTTGCACTGATGGCATTTGAAGATAAAGAGGCATGTACTAACTTGGATTTGTTCATTCTAGTATTTAAATATGTTTTTTTTTTAAAAAAAGCTATCTATATATATATATATACACACACAGACAAGAAGTGGGGAGGTCAATATCTAAGAAGAGAGAAGTTGGCTGAAGAATGATGAAGACAGAGAAGTATTCAAGGGCTACAGGAGATAGAGGCAAATAGTGATATGTACACAATCTTGGAACAACAGTGTTCTGTGTGTAGCTACAAGGACCGAGACACAAGTTGAATAGTATGAGAGGGAGACTGGAATATAGATGTATATGTACAGATACATATATGCACGTATGTGTGTGTGTGTGCATATATATATATGTGTGTGTATGGATATATACATGTATATATGTACCCCCCAAATATATGAGTTTGCAAGAGTCTGTGTGGGATGAAGCATGCTATTGCATGGAGGGGACTGCACTCATTGAGATGAAACAAAACAAGCATACGATTTCTTGAATGTTAAACTGATGATCCTGACTATAACCCTTCACTCAATTCACAATAATTAAAAAAAAAATCTTTAAATAAATCTGTGAGGGGATAGTAATAGTATGGTATGTGGCCATCATTATCAGTTTTGGGAAAATTGATTTTTAGGGAAGAGAAGGTTCTTTAAGCAGGGTAGTCGATCAGTGTAAGCATTTTATTTGCATGTAAGACTTCTTACTACTCCTGTAGCTCTCCAAATAACCGAAGCTATTAGAAAGGCATATGCTGTCTCCTTTCTTATTGTACTTTTCATGACCAGTCTTAGATTAAAGACAAGGAGAATAATGACTGCATACGACTTGTAGTACAGAATTGTCTTGAAAAAGAGAGCAGGCTGTTAGAACTCCTAGCATAAAATAAACCCAGCAATGCATCTTCCCTTTGTGAGAACTCATTGAGCTATCCGCTTAGAAAGCATATGCTTGTCAATGTGTATGTTGTATTATCTGCAGTCTGGCAGCAGCATTATGATAGAAAAGTTTTTCCATTCAGACACTGAAATGTTGTTGTTATGTGCCATGGAGTCGGTTCCGACTCATAGCGTTTCTGAGGCTGTAAATCTTTACGGGAGCAGAAAGCCTTATCTTTCACCCGCGGAATAGCAGGTAGTTTCGAACTGCTGACCCTGAGGTTAGCAGCCTGATTTGTAACCACCATGTTACCACAGCTCCTTAGACACTGAGATACAGAGAGAGTAAGTAATTTTACATTAATACTGTGCTTCACTTGGCTGGTACTGAGCTCTTAGCTGCTCAGTCCCCGTCCTGTGTCCTCTACTAAAAGAACTTGCATGTAAGTTATATTCTTTTATTACCACTACTTATAAATTTATAATGGTAATTTTTTTCTAATATGAGATCAAATTTATTATACTTGTTAGTGTCAGAGTCCCACGATGTAAAGAAGTCTGAATCATAATTAGAGTAGATCAGCTTGTCCTTTCCAGACCTCAGTAAATGAGATGAGTGCTTGATGACTTGGATAGCTAATTATTATAATTTTTTTTGAATTATCAATTGAACTCTGAAGTCGCTGTGGTCTAGAAGAGCTGGGGTATATGAGATCTTGGCCACCAGTGCCTCACACCCTAATAATGCTCTTGTTCATCACCCCTTCTGGTACGAGTCCTAATGAAATCACAACACTGCTGCTCCTGGGAATTTGGGGACAATGGTGTGGCGCTGCAGATTAATGCGTCAGACTGCAAAGCCATTTGAACAGCAAGGTTGGCAGTTCAAGCTCACCAGCAGCTCCTCGGAAACCCTATACAGGGCCGCTATGGGTCGGAACCAACTCGACGGCACTTAACAACAACAGCAAGTGCCTTTGGAGAATTACGCTGTTAGCAAACAATGTCCACACTAGTTACAGGAAGTGGTTCAAAGGCTTTCTTTCATGCTGCCGTATTTTTATTAAAGAGCCAGCCAGAAGGCTGCATGAATCTCATTACTATATTGGCAAAGGAAATTAGCCTTTATATAGTATTTTCATTTGTGCTTTTTATACATATTGATGTCCTGAATTTGTTTTTAGTGAAAAACTTTTTTTTTTTTTTTTTTATGGCTATTTTTACTTTTATTTTTGATTTTTCTCAGACTCTTCTTGTATTTCTCTAATAAAATTTAGCTCCATGACCAGAAGTGTCCTTTGGCAAACGTCATCTGTGAATACTGCAATACCATGCTCATCAGAGAACAGGTACAGTGGTGTCTTTTTCCTGAATTACTATCTCCATGAGTATCTTAAAGAAGTGCATTTGTTTTTGTACATTGAAATATTAAATCAGTACAGGTAAAGTGAGTATTAGTGGGGAAAACTGTTAGAACTGAGCAAAATTTTTAGTACACATGATTATAATTTAGGAATTCTCTCAGAAAGAACAAAATGGTCCATCCTTTTGAAAAACTGAAATTCTTAGGCATTAACCATCGTAATCCCCATGGCTTTATATATTCACATAAGTTCCAACTAAAGAAGGTATTTTAAGATGGAAATGATTGAAAGTAAGGGTCTCCATTTACAAAGAGAAAATTTTTAGGAAGTAGGTGTTACTGTGTTTGAAGTGAGGGTCATAGGAGCCCCGAGACCAGCTGAAGAGTAATATTGAAATAGGAGAAAACAAGTCTGTTCTGTAGTAGGATGTTTCCGGTAGCCCCTGAGGTGTGGTGTTGGGAGGCTTTGAGAATTCCAGGATCTGTAGGCTCTCCTGTAAGCCACTGGTTGGGTATTATCGCAAGTAGAATTCTAATAGCAAACTGTAAGTTTTGATTATTTATACTAAACTCCAAACCCATTGCTGTTGAGCCAAATGCCAACCCATAGCAACTCTATAGGACAGAGCAGAATTTCTCCAAAGGATTCCCAAGGCTGTTAATCTTTACAGAAGCAACCTGCCTATTGTTCTGCAGAACAGCTGGTGGATGTGAACCACCAATCTTTTGGTTGGCAGACGTGCACTTAACTACTGTGCCATTAGGGCTCCTTTGATTATTAATAGAGAAAGGAAAATTCCATCTCATCTAATTGCTATCTTCTGACATTTGGGGTGCTCACCCACAAAATATGAAAATTAGTCACTCAGTATTAATACACCCATGAAGTTTGCAAACCCAGAGATTATCATCGCTTATTTTAATAAAGAGACGCAAAACCTGTCTCTCAACTAAACTTTTCCATTTGTCTGTTAGAGTCCCTTAGTTTTTACCCAGCAGACAAAACCTTAATTTTGAAGGTGTTAAATGTTTTCCTTTTGAAGCCCCACCTCCTTGCTTTTCCTATGTGCTCTGTTTGAATATTTAAAGAAAACCATGCAGCACGTTTCCAACCCAGCAAAGACAATAGTCTAGGAAAAAGCTCTAGGCTGAGACCCAGAAGATGTAGGCTTTTTCATCCTGGCGATGCCACTGGCTTAGCTCTCTGATCTCTCTCACACGAGAGAGTGCTAACTCTGAATCTGGAATCTGCAAAGGGCTCTAACCAACTGCAGCCCGCCACTTGTTTTTGTAAATAAAATTTTATTGGATCCCACGTTTCCATTCCCTGCCACATACCTGAGAGGAATGAAAGCAGACACTGCAGCAGTCACATGTGCACCTGTGTTCATAGCAGTGTTCACAGTAGCCAGCGTAGAAATGACCCAAATGTCTCCTCAACAGAGGAATTGGTAAATAAATTAGTATGTATACAGTGCAACATTATCTGATGTATGTTACAATGTGAATGTTCCTCCAGTGCTGAGTGAAAGAAGGACTTCACTTACGCAAATAATCCCACATCCATCAGTCCTTACAGACAGAACCCGGGGTGGTGATGGCCGCTGACTGGACTTGGAGAGAGGAGAAGCTACCTACAGAGTGTAGGACTTTGATTTTGAAATGATGGAAATATTGTGGCGCTACTTAGAGGTGGTGGTTGCACAGCATTATACATGTACTTCATGCCTCTGAGTTGTTGACGTTAAAGTGGTTTGTGTTTATTCAAGTGTTGCTAGAGCACAACCATGCTTATGTATTTATGTGTTGTTTCTGGCTGCTTCTGCACCCCAGTGGTAGACTTGAGGACTGAGACGGTGATAGGACCTCAAAGCCAAGTGTATTCACCAGGTGATCCTTTACAAAAGAATTTTGCTATTCCTCTCAGTATATCAGTTTCCTCCTGGAAAATAGGATTAAATGAGCTCTTGGATTCTTTCTGCTTGGAATCTCTTATGACTTGCCAAACTATATATTTGAAGGGAATTTGACACCACTTTCAAAGACTACGATTCCGTGTAATGTAACAATTCCCTAAGGAATTGTTTTAGATTGCCCAGCTCAAAGCCTGAGGCTTATTTGTCTGTAGAACTTTTATTAATGTGTCGTGTACTACCTGAACCTTCCCGGGGTAGCCGTCATGCCCTGGGTAACAAACAGGTGAGAATAGTGAAAGGTGACCATGAGCAGAGTACTAGCTGCTGTCAGTAACCTTCAGCACATGCAGCTGACTGCTCTTTATTCAATGGCCTCATGCTCCCACACAATTAAGAGTTCCAGTTTTCAGTTGTCCTCAGAAGGTTTTGAGAGATCCAAAGGTTTTGAGAAGGTGCTGTTTGTCTTAAGTGCCACTAGAGGGTGGCAGTGCTCAGCAATAGGAACCAATTCATTTTCTTGAACTGAGCTTTGAGTAGTGGTTTTGTGGAGTGGGGGGATGGCTGCTGTAAGATGTTGACATTTCCTTTCTCTGTCACTTTTGAAAGTAAGTTTTTTAGTCTTTGTGGGCTGCCTGGTTTTCGTTGCAGCTCCAAAGGCCGCTGTAGACAGTATAGTCCTTTAAATGAAATGTGAACCTTTCAATCTGAGCTCATCAAACCAGAATTTGATATGCAGGGGCTAACGTTCTTCACCCTTTGTTTTGGCTTCCAGATGTCTAATCATTATGATCTAGACTGCCCTATGGCCCCGATCCCGTGTGCATTCAGTGCTTTTGGTTGCCATGACAAGGTAAGGGTGTTTTCCTTTCATTTCAAATATGGATCATGACTATTCCATTGCATCTTATAATGGAGAATACCAGCAAGAATGTCAGTTCTTAGGACACAGCATGACAGGTTGTGTAATCCAGAGAGTTGTGGATGCTGTGCACAGAAGAACAGGCAGCTCCTAAAGCAGTCGGGCAGCCATGGCAAAGCAGGATGTTTCGGCTGAGTCTTGGTACACAGAAAAGAGTTGTCCAAGAAGATGAGGGAGGGAAGACAGCCGAGAAAGAAGACATGTTGAATGTGAGACAACCAGCCCCCCCCCCCCCCCCGGAAGCAGTGCGGAAGGTGTGGGCTGGCTAGAGGCAGACCGTAGCTGAACCTGTTGAAACACCAAGGCCCCGAATGGGGAGAGTATGGATTACAGTGGTAATGGTAAGCCTAGCGATCCAGCAGTCGGTACAGATTACAAGAGGAGCTTGTGACTTCTAGAGAGGGTGGCTGAAGATGAGGGAGGAGTCTAGAGTAACTCTTGGTTTCTGGAAGAGGAACTGGTTGGAGGGGGATGTGGAAAAGAATGAGTTCAGGATGAATGGTGTTGAGTTGTAGGTGCAGGTTCCTCCAGTTGTAGAACACTCTGGGGGAAGTGGCTGTTATGTCTTGTTGTATACCTGCTTTTAAACTCAGAATTGAAGTTGGAACTCAAACTAATGATCTGGAGGAGCCGTTCACTCCTGGTCGTCATTGAAGCTGTGATTGAGTGCATACAGGATGGGGAGCTAGACCAAGGGAAGGAGCCAGAAGTGAAAAGTGTTAGGCCCATTTAAACCAGGCAGGGAGAGTGCACTGTTGAGGTCTCAGAAATGTATTTGAAGGCTAGTGATGGGTCGTCTCAGGTGTCTGGATCGATCATGGAAGTCGTCTTGTCTAAATGGGATTATACTTCACTTTCTCCATTGTACCTCTTTTCTGACTTCACAGTAAGCATTTAATAGTTTAAAGAATAAAATGAGCAAAATGGTATAGCATGTGATAGCGTTTTGTGGGAGAATTATGTATCGAGTGTGCATGGGGGAAAAGACGTGAAGGAAATATATCAAAGTGTTAATGATAATTAGGCAAGATAAAGCGTAACTTTCCTTCCGATCATCTATTTTTTCTATTTTTCTCGTCTATACCCAAGTTGCTGTTATAAGAAAATTGTTAAATCATGACATACCATGTGTTTTCACAACACACCCACATAAATAGCATGCTTTTACATATCATGAATATGCGTATAATGTCCATGTTGTTGTAAAGTGCAAGTTCCGACTCATAGTGACCCCACCCCATCCTGTATAAGGTTTCTGAGGAGTGACTGGTAGATTTGAACCGCCACCTTACACTTTAAACTGACTTTGTGGTCTAGTGCTTATCCTACAGTGCCACACCAGGATTTCATAACGTACATAGCATGTAGGAAATGGGGGTGGGGGTTACGATTGGCAAAAACCCATATAGTGCATGCATTATTTGCATAACATACGGCGTTTTCCTTCTAACTGTTACAAAAGTATTGACGACCTTAGAGTACAGTCTGAAACGATTCCAGCTTGCAATCGGTTTTGTATAACAGATGAGGCATCGGGGATTGTGCAGGTAGACTACACTTAGCTATAGAACGAAGAGAGAGAAATTGGTATTAACCAGAGAAGGGTTGGAATCAACTCAGTGGCAGCAGGTGTTGTAAAGCCTGGGGAGTCACAGGGATGCGTGCGTGCCATTTAGAGCACAGGTAAAGCATCCACCCTGGACAAAAGAGCATCTTTTCTATGAGCCTGAAGAGAAGAGGGGTAGAGATTACTGCTATTTTTGTCGGGTATTCTGTCCGAGTAAAAACCGAGAGCGTGCTCGTCAGATAGCCTCAGGCTTTCAGTGAACATAGACGCAGGATCATCTCGGGATTGAGAATCTGTTGAGGGCAAAGGGAGGGGTTAGGAGATTGAGGGAAGGGGTGACGTTACGTGGAAACCCTCTTTGGCCTGGCCAGAACCCTTCCTAGTCTGCACGGTGTCTTCTCCCGACCTAAGGCTTGTGCTTGATTTGTAGATGCAGAGGAACCACCTGGCCCGCCACCTGCAAGAGAACACCCAGTTGCACATGAGAATGTTGGCCCAGGCTGTTCAAAACTTAAGCCTTGCTTTATCGCCCAGGCCTCAGTGTTACGTGCTTCCGTATGATACTGCCTCTGTGTCCCAAGTTTCCTCTGGGTGTAATTCAGAGGTCCAGAATTTCCAAGAAACCATTCAGCAGTTAGAGGGTCGCCTTGTAAGACAAGACCATCAAATCCGGGAGCTGACTGCTAAGATGGAGACTCAGAGCATGTATGTAGGTGAGCTCAAACGGACTATTCGAACCCTTGAGGACAAAGTTGCAGATGTGGAAGCAAAACAGTGCAATGGGATTTACCTCTGGAAGATTGGCAACTTTGGGATGCACTTGAAATCCCAAGAGGAGGAGAGACCTGTTGTTATACACAGTCCCGGATTCTACACTGGCAAACCCGGTTACAAATTCTGCATGCGCCTGCACCTCCAGTTACCAAGTGCTCAGCGCTGTGCAAACTACATCTCCCTCTTTGTCCACACAATGCAAGGAGAGTATGACAGCCACCTGCCTTGGCCCTTTCAGGGGACAATACGCCTTACAATTCTAGATCAGTCTGATGCACCTGTAAGGCAGAATCATGAAGAGATCATGGATGCCAAGCCAGAGTTGCTTGCCTTCCAGCGACCCACAATCCCCCGGAACCCGAAGGGCTTTGGTTATGTGACTTTTATGCACCTGGAAGCCCTAAGACAACGAACCTTCATTAAGGATGACACATTATTAGTGCGCTGTGAGGTCTCTACCCGCTTCGACATGGGTAGCCTTCGGAGGGAGGGCTTTCAGCCCCGAAGTACTGATGCAGGAGTATAGCATCCCCTGACTTGTTTAAACAGAGACTGTCTGGAGCCAGCAGTGCCTTTCCTTGCCCTGTTGTCAGTGATAATGGCCAAACCGGAATAGCGTGGCAAAATGTCAGATCCACCGAGAATGTACAGAGGTCGCCCTTTCTTCCTGTTACAAATCTCTGATACCATTTTGTCTTCTTGGGAATCTACATGTTCCTTGGTTTTCAGAAATGTTACACCAGAAGTGTCTACGGCATGTTGCAGCTATTTTATTCATTAGTATACCTCTTTGTTGTACTTTCTTGGGCGTTTGATCCACTATATTTTATTGTCAGAAAGCCACTAATCAGAGTACTAAAGCATAACCACCCTCCTCCTAAAACAGTAAGACCTTTCCTTTCGATTGCAGTCTTATTTCTATAGTATATGTAATATATTAAACTTTAGAATCACTACCACCTCGAGATGTCAAAGGATTTGACTTGTAATACTGGGAAGCTAAAGTTCTCATCGCCCTGTTTTCCCGAGGGTGTTATTAAGGATACTCAGGGACTAGCTTAAGCCCGAACTCTGACCTTCTTTACATTGTGTGAGCATGTTGACTGTTGAGTAACACTTTTGTTAAGTGTTTCACTCTGCCTTACTGTACCTATTTCCTGGAGGCCAGGAAGTAGCATCTTCTCCAGAGTGTATAATGCTGAGAACCATATGGGTACTGGGTTCTCATTCTTGTCCTCCATATCCCTTCTTGTCTGCTCTGCACGAGTGAATTCTGGTGCCCTCCATCTGTTTTCTGTTCCTTAATTCTTGGGTGACCCATAGTCACCAAGAGCAATAGTAGTCCACCAATGTGCCATGTCATAGATGATGAGTAGTCCACCAATGTGCCATGTCGTAGATGATGACAAGCTAAAAGCGGTGTTCAGCTCTTTAGAACACCCTCAGGTTTAATTACGTGAAGTGGAACAAAATGTCCTAAGAACAAGATTTCTTCCTACTGGGAAGGTCATTGGCAGTACCTGAGAGGGCCCCAAACTTAATTCGGAATCATGGCCCTGTCCTGCTTTGGTTGAGCAGGCTGGTTTGGTGCAACAGCTGACAGCGGACTCTGGGAAGTGCACTGAAATGGCTTTAATGTTCTGATAGGAAGAGATGGATTTGTGCCATTGTGTATTTGTTTGAAGACTAATAACTGTTCAACGTTCTGACCAGATCTGGTTGTCATGGAGTCGCACAATGACTCTGGGCCCTTAGGAAGACTAAGCAGACCCACTCTGCTTTTCACACAGCTTGTTGAACGTTGTCTGGTGTGGAAGACCACATCAGAAGCCCCATAACCAGTCTACAAGATGGACCCTAATTTTGAGAGGAAGCTGAGAGCCTTGGGCTCTGTAAAGGAGTCTGCTTTCGGGTTCCAGGCAGAACTAGCAAGTGTTGCCTTGACCTTCCCCTCGTCACTGCCCCCCTTACCTTCCTCACCCCCATACACACAGGTGTCAGCTCTGCTCTGCTGGGCTTGTGTATTGAGTGAAATGGAAAGTAAAGATGTGTGGTACCTGCAATACCACAGGCTCATCCAAGTTCCCAGGGGCTGTCCTGGCAGTTTGGGTCCCTTAGCCCCCAGCTCGCTTCTAAAAACTGGTGCCGTAACACTCAACCTGCTCTGCTGCTCTCCCTGAGTGTTTGCCAGTGAATAAATGTCAGCTTTCATTTGAAAGGTATATGGTGGTTATTTTTGTGTGTGCATTTAAAAAATTCAGAAGGGAAGATAAGCTATTCGGTGTGATTATCCTGGGTTATAGACTTTCCTTTCTTTCTTTCTTTCTTTTTTTTTTCTTTACATTTTCTGCAATAGACGTGCATACTTTTAGCAAAGAAAAAATAATGGAATCCCTGGTCAACTACTATCAGAAAGGTTGGCAGTTCCAACCCACTTAGAGGCAACTTGGAAAACAGGCCTGAAAGGTCACAGCTTTGAAAACCCTGACTCATATGGGGTCACCACAGCTCAGTGGCCTGGATGGTTAATTAATGCTTCAACAAAACATTCAGACTCCTCCCTTCTCCCAAAAAAGCTGTTAAAAGCTTCCTGGTTAAATTTCTGTTAAAAGCATGATTATACGTTATTGTTGTTAGTGTCGGCGAGTTAGTTCCGACTCACAGAGACCCTGTGTCTAACATAGTAGAACACCGGCTCGTCCTGCGCCGTTCTTAAAACTGTCGCTGTGGTGAAGTTCCTTCTTACAGCCACTGTGTCACTTCATTTCATCCAGGGTCATCCTCTTCTTGGCTGATCCTATACTTTACCAAGACTCCTGGTGTGACACTGTAGGGTGGGAACGGGACTGCTAATAACAAGGTCGTCAGTTCAAACCCACCAGTTACTCATTGGAAACCCTATACAGGGTCGCTATGAGTCAGAACCGACTCGAGGGCACCTCACAACAACAACATACTTTGCCAAGCTTGGAGTCCTTTTCCTAGGGACTGGTTCTTCCTGATGACATGTCCAAAGTGTGTGAAATGAAACGCCACCATCCTCCCTCCTAAGCAGCGTTCTGCCTGTACTTCTTCCAGCACATACTTGTTCTTCTGGCCATCCATGGTATATTCAGTATTCACCAACACCGTAATTCAAAGCTCTCAGCTCTTCATTTTTCTTCATCATCCAGCTATGGCATACATACATTGTTGTGAAGTGCCATCAAGTCCATTCCAACTCAGCGACCCTGGATAGGGTTTCCGAGGCTGTAAATCTTTACAGGAGCAGAAAAAGCCTCATCTTTCTCCCACAGAGTAGCTGGTGGGCTGTAACTGCTAACCTTGTGGTTCACAGTCCAGTGCTTATTATATGGAGCCACCACATTATCATACATACATTAGGTACAGAGAAGAGTCATTTCTTACCTTGGTGGTAACTTTTTATCTACTAACAACTAACTGTTGGCCTACCGTCGACTTCTCTTAGCCTCAAGTACCATCAAGTTGGTTCAGACTCAGTGATCCTCGATGGGGAGTTTGAGAATGGTTGGTGGGTTTGAACTGCGAACACTTAGGTTAACAGTCCAGTGATTATCCTAGAGCACCAAACCAGGACTCATTTCATCATTGTTATTGTTAAAGTGCCGTCAAGTCGATTCTGACCCATAGCGACCCTATATAGGGTTTCTGAGGAGCAGCTGGTGAGCTTGAACCACTCATCAGTTCATCATTAGCTAGGAGAAAAAACCTTGCCTTTCATTCTGTTTAATCTTTTTCAACCCTTCATCCCCCAAATAAAAACCGAATCATGCTGTGATCTAGCCAGTGAACCCCTCATTGCTCTATCAGAGAGCAATAAACCACCAACCTACAAACCAACTTCCCAACTTTGGTTTTCCAGTAGCAAAATGCAGGACTTATAATAAGTCCCAGCCAACATTGAGCAACTCTGGGACAAGAGAAAATAATTAAAAATCAGCTATGTCCTAAAATGATACCAAAAGATGAACAGATTAACAGATACAATATATGTGGCCTAAATTACTAGTGGGGAATCCTGGTGTGTCGCTGTGGGTTAATGCACTGGACTGCAAAGCCATTTGAACTGCAAGGTCAATGGTTCAAGTTCACCAGCTGCTCCTTGGAAACCCTATACAGGGTCACTATGGGTCAGAATCGACTCAACAGCACTTTACAATTATTACTAGTGGACTGGGATGGATGGGACCATGACTGTCAGTGGTATGGCAGTTATGTGAGGATCTCCCATGACGTGAACTGATGAGCTAAAACAATGAGGGTTAGGGGTGGCATGTTACTGTTAAGCACAGTCAATTTGCTTCCCAGGTTGTGAATCTTTACAGTAGCAGAAAGCCTCTTTCTCCCGAGCAGCAGCTAGTGGGCTTGAACCACTGACACTGTGGCTATGAGTTCAGTACTTATCCTACAGAGCACCCTTAATACACCAACCTTAACCCCATCACCACCCTGATCAAATGTCAGGGAGTTAACCAAGGTTGTGGCCTGTAACACCTCTTATCTTAGAAGAGATTAAGAGAAGGACCTGCTGTGGGCAAGAAGGAAGAGTTGGGAGTGGAATCCGTCCTTTGGACCTGGGGTTCCTGCACTGGGAAGCTCCTACATCCAGAGTAAGATTGATACTAAGACCCAGGGAAATCTCCACACAATGTTGGAGCCCCAGCTGCTGGAAGGAGATAAGGACCCATCTCCAGAGCTGGCTCTCTGAGTCCAGACGTCTAGCCTGTTGAACTGAGAGAGAATATTTTGTTTCTTAAACCACTCACACTTGTGCTATTTGTGTTACAGCAGCACTAGAAAACTTAAGATGTTGTTGTCATTGCGTGCCGTAAAGTCGGTTCTGACTCATAGCAACCCTGTATAGGATTTCTGAGACTGCTGGTGAGTTTGAACTGCTGATCTTGCAGTTCAAATCAACCTTGAGGTGCCTTATCTTATGGTACCACACCAGGACTCCAACTAACACCCTGGATTGATGCAGAGATGTGAGGTGATCACTTATGTCAGTTAAATTTTTTTAAATTAGTTTTTATTGCGAATTGAGTGATAGCTTACATGGGAAAGCATCAGCTTTACATTCATCCTATCGTATTTCACTTCATTGCAATGATCTCAATCCCCTCCATGTGTCATCATTAAACAGCATTTGCGTCCAATCCCTCTGGTTTTTTTGAGGGGGTGGATGTACATACACCGAAGCACTCAGGAATATATAACCATTCAAACACCCAAAGGGTATATCCCACAAGCCTGCCCTTTGGCCGTCAGCACACAGCCCCTCTCCCTCCTTGAGTATAGAGTTCCCCAGCCGCTCAGTCTCTCCACGTCATTGTGTATGCCTCCAGCTCTGGCGTCAACGGCTTCTCTAGGTAGGGTCCTGCACTTGGCTCTTATACCTTGATGGTCTCAGGGTCCTCTGCTCCTGGACTGCAAGATCAACCACTCCCGTCCTTTTGTTACAAAATGTCTACCTTTACATTTCCAACCCTCCAGTCCTGATAGCAA